CGCGCGGGCGCCCCCCGCCGACCTCCGTCGACCACCGCCGACCATCATCGACCACCTTCGATCGTCGCTGACCGTCATCCACCGTCGATCATCACCGACCATCTTTGACCTGACACTGTCATGCGACGCTGTAATCTGAAAATCTAGTAACCCTTTCTCGTTTGTGGGACAAGATGTCGTTGTAATCATCAACATATAGTAGATTTTTATAACTAGGTCAAGCCTCGTGTTTTTTTCCCTTTTACGGGTTTTTCCAGTAAAAAGTTTTCCACGTAAAAACTTCTGGTGTCATCACTAGTTGTTTCACTATCATCTGAGTGTGTGTTGAATCCTCGTGCAATGCTAAGACGATAATCTATTACTCTACCGCCGTGAATTTTCTAGCACGCATCAGTTTGGCGCCGTCTGTGGAAAACGAATTCCTTTTAGATATTGTCTTCAACTTTAAGAAGTTGATCCCTTATTTCATTTCCCAATGATGTATATCATTCAACTGGCTAAGGAACCTCCTTTACCTCTTGAAGATTATCTTAGAAACATTCTTCCATGATGGGGGGCAACCTTTACTGAAGTTTCGAAAGGTCGTTCAGATCAACGTCCCAAGCACGATTGTAGTAAAGTTGTCTTCTCACATCCTATTCAGACAAAGTATGTCACAACTTCTTCCAAGCTGTGGGCAATTTTTCACTGTAGTCTCGAAAGGTCGTTCATGTCAACGTTTCAGGCACGACTGTGGTGGGGAAGTCATCCCATATTTCATTCAGATTACAAGCCTGCGAAAATTTCTCATGTACTAAGAGGAAATCTTCACCACAAATAATGCCTCCTCAGCACCCCTCATCGTATTGAAGTTCCTCTTCAACCAGATCAGGAAGCTAATCTCTTTAAGACTCCATACATAAGCTATTTTACAAGCTCACATGGAAAACGCTCTGGCTGAGAGGCAAAAGTTTTGCGCCAGCCAGCTAAACAGCTTTCTACAGGACAATGGTAGCGGCTTTTGCCTGTTTGGTAGATGAAGGCTTGTTTTATGGATTCCCGAAGCCAATCATCAAACAGTGCTTTTTAATGGAAGCTTCCCAGTTTAAGTTGCTGAAAATGGAACCCTTCTCTGCTTGCTACTTGGCAGGCGAAGGTAACAATTTTTCAATATATATATATATATGTATGTATGTATGTGTATGTATGTATGTATGTTTTTAGTTGAGTTGGGTTATCCAAGGAGCCAACCAGATGAGAGTGGAAGAGTGGAAGGTAGCGTGGATATGAAAAATCGGGTTTTTTTCGTGGGAGATTGTGATTGTTTGTAGTGAATGTTATTCTGAAGAACTCAACTGTTAATGCTGATTTGTATTTTGCTTTTTTGGAACTTTACATACATGCCACCCAATTTTTATGTTTTCACATATCTCATACCAAAAGTATGATATTTTCATTTATAGCACTTGTGTTATAAGCTTGAGCATGCATTATTTTACTTATATAAATTTAGCAATAATGGTGTTTTTGATGTATTGCTAAAAATTTGGGTGTTATGCATGTAAAAAGTGAAAATTTTGGTGGTAGATATTTAAATTCATAAGAATTGTGTGGTATGTATGTAAATGTTCCTTTATTTTATGACTCATGGTAGTGTGGTAATTGAGCGAATCATGCCGAGCATTCTATAGTTTAATTTTGTTCAATTATTTTTAGAGTTGAACTTAAATATGGCTCGGATTTTAAAATCTTATTTAAATGTATTTATTATTATTTTATTTAATCTAAGGTTTAATTACGTAACTATATATGTGATTGTTATGATTTATAATTGTAATCATAATTATGGTTATTAAAATTGGATTGGTCATTGTATAGGAAGAATAAGAGGCTTAATACCAAGTTGAATTGAATGATATAATAAATATTTAAGTTATTATAATATAATTTAAATGATGTAATAATATAAATATGAGATAAATATATGATAAAACTAAATAGAATTTGAACATAATTAACATCTTTGATAGGTAGCCAACAAATTTTCATCAATCGGCACAAATTTTGGTGCAATTTTTTGAAAAAAAACATTTAAATTTCGATTAAGAGCCATCCACAGCTCTAATTTCAGTAAATTTATAGTCAAATAGATCGGTTTGATGAGACGGAACTAATGATATGAAAGTCGGTGCAATCGGAGTCAAATCAAGCCCGGATCAAATTATTAAACCACCCTTAGAGGATTTTCGGAGGCATTTAAAAGATCAAACGAATGTCGAATTTAGTGAGTTCATGGTCGAATCGTGCATCTTGACAAGATGAATCCAACGAGCCAAGAT